CCCTACATTTGAAGCATTTCTGCAGAATACCAACTGGGTGTTGTCTTACCCAAATCAGTCTGACTCTGCCTCCCTGGAGGTAGAGTCAGATCCCACAGGTTAGAAGCTCTGTCCTAGAAGACTGCCCCTGATCTTGCCAGGTGTCTACTTGCTAGTCACAAGTAGTAGGTTGCCAGTTTCCTACGCTTGAGACTTACTGGCTGTGAGTCAGAGATCCCACTGGCCCCTCTCTGGATTCGATTAATTTGCTAGAGCAGCGCACAGGACTCAGGGAAACACTTTCTCTTTGTTTTCTGGTTTATTAATAAAGGATGCAATGATGGATACAGATAAACAGCTGAAGAAATACATAGGGCAGGGTCAGGAAGGAACCCCCGGGCAGGAGCTGGGATGCACCACTCTTCTGGCATCTAGATGTGTTCACTAATCCAGAAGCTTCCCAAACGCAGTCCTTTGGGTGTTTATGGAGGATTTCTTACCTAGGCATGATGGCTTCCATTATTGGCCATTGATAGCAACTTAGCCTTCAGCTCCTCTTCCCTCCCCAGAGGCTGGGGCATAGGACTGAAAGTTCCAACCCTCTGATCACATGGTAGGTTCCCCTGACCACCTGCTCCCATCCTGAGACTCTTAAGGAGCCCACCAGGAGTCACTGCATTGGGACAAAGATGCTCCTATCCGCCAGGTCTTAAGAGCCATGTTGGACACTCCTATCACTCAGGAAATTGCAAAGGTCTTAGAGCTCTCTGTCAGCAACCATGGTCAAAGACCAGATACATATACTTCTTCTTCTACTTTCTTCTTCTTTCTTCTTCTTTCGTCTTTCTTCTTCTTTTTTTAGTTGCCAGGTGGCACATGCACTTGTGCGCTCATGCACATGCGTGCACATGTGAGAGAGACAGAGAGAGAGGGAGAGAAGTGAGAAAGGAAACACTCCCCTACAGAATGTTTCATACTGCAGTCCTTCTGCATTCCTCCTTCTGGTCAGGATTTTGGGCACGTGCACACACATACACCAATGTACACACACACACACACACAAATGTACACACACACATGCACCTGGTGTATTTTTTTTAGCCCTCAGGGCTGGGATTTGAACTGTGGTCTGTTATGTAGGAGCTGGCTCCCTCAACCACTCTTCGTAGGACTGGCCTATGTATTTCTTATTATACCGCAGTATCAGCCAGCCAACCCCGGTCTTGATCAAGTGATTCTTGATCCTTACAGGGTGTGGATCGAGACCTAGGTCACTGAACTCTTGTCCTTTAACAGCCATGCCGTGTTTAATTCCCCCTGCCGAAGCCAGAGCCTCCAACTGGAGGGGAAGTGAACACAGCTCAGCTGTGAAGTCTCAGCTCCGCAGTCCCTGGAGGTGCCGTCTGGCTTCCTCCTGACGCGTCCCTGGTGACTCAGCAGGTGCGGACAGTGGCTGGTGGAGATGATGTGTTTTGGCAGCATCACTCCTAGGCCCTGGCTCTGTGCCCTGGGAAGAGTGCAAGTTTCCCGCCCTGGCCTCCTTCTCCACTCTTGCTACTTCAGGACCCTGACCTCTTCCGTCACCCCCGCCTGTGAGGAGCCACTTGCCACTGGGTCTCCCTGACAGTGAGGAAGGCAGCTCCCTTGTGGGAGGAAATGTCCACTGTGTGCTCGGTAGGATGTCGGATATCTGCCCGAGGGAACTCGGCCCCTTCTAACGGAAAGCCCAGTTTTCCCAAGAATCTTATCCTCTGAGGAAGGGAGGGAATGGAATGTAGGTGGCAGCTGGGCGGTGCGTGTCCCTCGTTAAGTGACTTGACCTCTTGTGTCTTGGTTTCTTGGTGTGTGACGTGAGGCTAAGGCACTCACCCTGCAGGGCCATGGTGAGGACAAAATGAGACTGCACAAAACAGCTCACAGCAGATGCTCCAGAACTTGAATTTCCTTCTTCCCGTGTTTCTGTCTCAGTCTGCCGTCTGACTGTCGGAGGGGGATTGAGATTGGACGGTTTCTAGAGTTACTTCCAGTTCTCTAACTCCATGGCTCAGACGGTTGTCCCTTCTTAGATCCCAGTGTTCAGACCCTAGAATTCAACTTGGCCTACGTCCGTTAGAATGGGTAGGAGCAGAGGGGCAGAAGTGACAGTGTCTGGGCCGGCTGGCCATGACACCTCAGTTGGAAAGCAGTGGGCCCCTCCAGCCTGGTTTGGCAGCTCTGAATCAGCTACTTTCTGACAGATTCCTGTTGCCTTGGGAAATCCCATCACCAAACATATGCAGATAGAGGTTGCAGAGCGTGTGGCAGGATGGCTGAGGATGACTGCTGACTTAGACATTCCAGAAGCTTCTTCTTGCTACAGGGCTTTCATAATCATAGCATACCACAGGATGGCTCTTCAAACTTCAGGTAGCCATGGAGGAGCCTCTGGTCTCGCTCCACCCTCAGTCCTGCAGAGGGGAAGGACTTGAATTGTACCTGGGCTTCTGAGTGATTGAAAATAGACTTGAGAATAAAGATTTTCATAAAAAGAGGCAAATGTAAAATCTTCATTTTTTTTAAGAGATTTTTTTTTGCTGTAGGGCATATGCACTTGCCAGAGAAACAGGGAGAGATGGAGAGAGAGAGAGTGAAAAATCAGCCCCCAGGGGAATAGCCACACCATAATCCCATTTCTTCAATTCTTCTGGAAGGATTTTGAGCACCCATGCACAGGTGCCCCAGTATGAGTTTCAAGCTGCCAAGCGCGGGACTTGAGCTGCGATTGGCCATGTGAGAATCCAGAGCCTTAACCCCTACGCCACCTGCTGGCCCTAAAGCCTTCATTGTTTATCCGTAATGAGGAGGATGAGAAGGATGTGAAGAGAATATGGTCTAGCCCATGGATGGTTAACCCTGAACTCTCCACAGAAGGAATTGGGATTCCAATACCAGGGAAACAGCACGGCGAGGTAGGACAGTCTTTCATATCTCACCCCCCACATGCCAGGCACGCACTGTGGGGAGTGCAGACGTGATGGGTGTTCTTGACTTTAAGGAATGGCTTCCAAGATGCAGTGTCAAAGTGGGCCTCCGAGGAGTCCAGGATAGGCAAACCTGTCATTTTACCCACCTGAATTTGATCAGAGAAGAAAAATAAATAAGAACTCTTTGGTGGTGTTTTGTTTTAGTGTTTTGCTAGTGGGTGCATGCACTCATCAAAGAGAGACAGAGAGGGAGGGAACTGAGAAAGCACCCTCCAGGGGGATGGCCATGCTGCAGTCCCTTCCCCATTCTCCACTTGGGATTTGGGCATGCACACACGTGCACCATGTGTTTTTGAAGTCGGTGGGTCAGAGATTCAAACTGTATATAGTTGGCCGTGTGGGATCGACCCTAACCACCATCCCGCTGGATGCTTGTTTCAACTAAAGTTTCTGCTGCGGTCTGGGAATGAGGCCATTGCAACAGCAGAGGTGTTAGAGAAGTACACTTATTCCACACTCCTCCCGTTTGCAGAGAGTGATTCTTGGAGCAAAATTTGTGGCCTCTCATTCATCCCCTCCCAAGCAGGGAGAGTGAGGTTCCCAGCCTGGGGCATAGTCATTAGTCCATGATTTTTATTAGACGGGATGAAGCACTGGGGACTGCGCCTCTTCAGTCACTGTCCTCCTTAACTCAATTGATGCAGGGGCCCTGCTAAGCATTGATTGGGGTCTCCCAGGGTGAGGAGGCTGTGCTGGGAGCAGATCCCTTGGGCCTCATACCCCGGGCATATTCCCCAACAGAGGATACCCTCCCTTCATTCCGCTTCACCTCAGTCCCCAACAACTGGGGCTTAAGTCTAGTGATTCAGATGGCAGGTGTGAACGTCCATGAACCTAAAGGAATCTCTGCAAAAGCTATGTTCGTTTAACCTCGGGTTTCTATATAAACATATATATATAGAAAGCTTTATGAGAAAAAAAAAAGTCTCAAGGGAGACAAAGCGACTATTACAGGTTGAAGAAATTATAGGTCTTGCTTATTATCTTTTTCGATGGCCCCTTCCTTTTTACTTTTCTTTCCAATAGTACAGACACATGTGTGAGACAGAGAGAGAGAAGAGAGGGAGAGAAGGGAGTGAAGGAGAGAAAGCAAGCAGCTTAGAGAAGAGAGGAAGAGAGAGAAGGGAGTGAAGGAGAGAAAGCCAGCAACTTTGACAGGGTCTCGTTATGCCATGGTCCCTCTCTCCAGCTCTCCCGCTCTCAGGATCTGGGGTACCTGTGCACATATCCAGAGAGCTTTCTGACTGGGAATCTGCATACCAGGTCGGCATGTGGCATCCATCCTCGGAGGACATTGTGTTACCGTGGTTGGGCTTGTGCTTCCCTGTATTTCCTGGTTTCTACAGTGAACGTACGTTTCTGTTACAGTGTGGAAAAAATTTTGTTTCCCATTCTTTCACAGCTCCCACCGAAACAAAAACCAAACAAATAGGAAAGAAGGGGAGGAGGAGGAATAAAGAAGGAATTTCCTAAAAGACAATAGACTTACAACAGAACTGCCACAGGGTCACTCCTCTGGAGCTGAATTGCTAGAAGGTGGGGAGCAGAGGGAGGTGGTGGGGTTTGGGAGAAAAGGCCAGGTGGGAAGGAACGAATCCATGTGTGCTGATTCAAGACGGGCCATTGTGATGCCCTGGCCCAGTGGTGGCCTCGCACACCTGGTGCACCCCATTTCGGTCATTGCCAGGAGAGGGAATCTCCTCTTTCTTTTCTTGGTATAGGCTTTAGTGGGAGAATTCTCTTTGAATGTCCTTTTTGGACTCTGGCTGTCAGAGGGACCTTCCTGGAACCTTATTTGTGACCAAGTGACCTTGCCTTTCAGGCCGCAGCAGAGAAATCTCCGGGAGCCTACTTCCTTCCCGAGTTTGCACTCTCTCCTCAGGGGAGTTTTCTTGAAGACACCACAGGGGAGCAGTTCCTCACTTATCGGTATGATGACCAGGTAAGAGCAGTGGAAAAGAACCTCCCTTTGGCTTCACCAGTTGCCAATGGGCAAGAAACTGTCTCAGAAATACTTTCTTACTGTATTTTCCTCTCGGCAGAAGTACGATAGACCCTTGATACCCTCAGAGAATCCCAAGACTTTGGGATTGCCTATGTTTTCATGTAATTTCCTACACAGCGTGTGGCCTTGCGCTGACTGGACCGTTTGCTCAAAATCACTCTTTCTTATTTTCATGAGATGTGTATATGATGGATTCATTCATGTGAGCTGTCATGATTTATTATTCAGTCCTGAAAGTAGTCAGCATTTCTTTTTTCTGATTAAGGATTACTTCTTTGTTTCTTAACATTTCATTCTCTAGCCCCAGTATTGACTTTTTCTTTCCAAATCGATTTCCCAACAAAAACCAAAAACCAAAAAACAAAAAAACCCCACAAAGTCTCTCTCTCTCTCTGGTGTGTGTGAGAATCAATCCTCACAGGCTAACTAGAGAATAAGAATGTGCTTCGTTGAGATGTGGAAGCTGAGCACTGAGAATTGTGGTTCCTTTCCATTTTTAATTCACATTGATGGCCGAACAGCATTTAAAATTACGCATGTCTTCGAAATCACGTATGATCATTCACACAAAGGACATTAGCTTTGCCAACTGCAGAGGTTCCTAGCGGGTAGGGCCTCTGTTTACAGGGCAGTGGCACAAACAGGACCTGGCAGACCTTGGCACCTCCAGGGCCCGAGTGAAGATGAGAAACTGGGCAAGATGCCATCTCTTGGCATGTGACAGAATGGAGGGAGGTGGCCAGTGATTGAGGCCAGCAGTGTGTCTTCTTGGCCATGCAGCCAGAGGCCAGCACGTCCTGGTTGGATTTCGGGAGGTCTCCTTAGAAGGCAAAGGATATACTCAGGAAGGGCAGCCCAAGAGCTTCTCTGCCCATATGGGTAGATCTAGGATGACTATGGGGGTGCGGAGCTTGGCTCATGGCTGCCTGGAGATGAGTCTGGGCAGCATAACAGGCTGAAGGATGCAGGACGGAGCTCAGAGGCCGGGCAGAGCAGTCTGTTGCCTAGGACTTCCTGTGCCAGCTCAGGGGGAGGCTCACCAGCATCTCAAGCCATGAGGTTGCTTGCTGCTGGTGGCCTGCCCTTGGTGGGCTAGCTCTGGGGCTGGGGCTGGGTGAGGGGCAGGGCTGGGACCCAGCAGATACTCTGCTCAGGGAGTTTTGTTGGGGCAGGGGTGGAATGAGGATACGTTTTTATTAAAAATTTCAACATCCAATGATTTTTTCCAAGTGACTTGAAAAGCCAGTATGTCCATAATTATTATGGGGATCTAGGGTGGGTTGGAGGGGTAATTCTCACATCATGGAGCCCAGGCATTTAGGCCTGGTTGGTTATAGGGCCTAAAACATCATGAAGCTGCTTTCTGCCTTTCTCCCCAGTGGATTTTTAGAGGGTCTATAATTTATGGCTCCTTTTAATCCAGACATCAATGATCCAACAGGTTTTCACATGAGAACTTCAGAAAAACTAATTGAGAAGGCAGTAAAGGGTAAAAGAGGGTGTCTGGAAAATAACAACCAGTGTATTTTATAATTAAAGAGTGGTTAATGCCTTCTCCAGGTTCCATAGATATTTAACTATTTAACATAAAAACAATATAAAAGCTAGAAAAAGAGGAATACAGGCCCCTTTCGCCTTTTCAAACAGTCTAAAGCAGATCTTAAAACCGTGTGGCGTGCTGTGGAAATTTAGTCCTAGGACGTGTTGTTCCAGAAAGCCCCAGTGAATGGGACAGAATGCGCTCAGTGCTGCCCCCACGGAGTGTTTCTCTCCAGGGAAAGGAATAAGGTCAAACTGGGACAAGCCGGGAAGGGCACCCACCCTTCTCCACTCATGGCCAAGGAAACCGGCCCTTGCATGAAGCGAGGTGCATCTTCTGAATGAACGTAGACGTTTTAATCACGCAGAATGTCCACCATTATCCACATCCTGACTCTCTTGTGTCTTAATGGTGAACATGCAGACTTCAGCGTAAGGTTAGGGCACGCCTCAGATACTGGGGAAAAGACAAAACTTATCAAATACCAAACTTAGGGAAAAAAAAATACCCTTATCCTACAGTAAGGACAGAATATTAAGATCCATTAAGAACAAAGGCTCCCAGGGCCGGCAGGTGGCCTGGTGGTTGAGGATGCTGGACTGCCACATGGCTGACCGTGGTTTGAGTCCCAGATCTGGCAGCTTGCTTTCTTGCTTGCTCTTTTTTTTTTCCCCCTTCCCCCACCCCCTCTGATCAAATGAAAAATAAATAAATAAATTTAAATAAAATATCCTAAAAAAAAAAACAAAAAAACCCCAAGAACAAAGTGTTTGGCGTCAGACTGCTTTGCGTTTGAATGCCAGATCTGCAGTGTTTGCTATGTGATTTAGGGCAAGTTTCTTTTCTTTTCTTCGCCTTCATTTTCTTATCTATGAAGTGGATGGTATCTACTTTTTTTTTCCTTTTCAGATTTTTGGTAAGAGTGTATTCATAGGATAGAGGAAGAGAGAGAGAGAAAATGAGAAATCACTCCCCAGGCTGGATGGCCATGCAGCAATCCCTTCTCCTCCATTCTCCTCTTGGGATTTTTGTCACACATGCCTGGTGTGTTCTTCAAGCCGCTGGCTCTGGGACTCAAATCATGCTGTTGGCTAAACTGAATCTAGTGCCTTAACCACCATGCCACCTGCTGGCTCCAGTATCTACCTTCTGGAGGTGTTTTGTGGACTTAAAGGAGGTGATCTATGTATCTCCCTGCATGGGACCTAGTACATTTAAGAATTTAGCTATTGTTCTTACTAGTATTATTTGCCAACACTCGATTTGGAGAAACTTAGTTATGCTTATGCTAAAGGAAAGGAAAAAGCATATTGTACATTTACACCAACCCCTCCCCCCCACATTTTTTATTGAGATATAATGTACCTATAACAAATGCATACACACCTGAAGTGCAGAGCTTGGTGAATTTCTAAATATTTTTGCACCTGTGTAACTACCACCCAAATAAAACATTGAACATTTCCTGTACCTTAAAAGGTTTTTATTGTGTGCTTTCTATTTTTCTTTTTCTTTTTTTTTTCTTTCCATTTTTGGTATATGGCACATATGCTTGCTAGAGAGAAAGAAAGAGGGAAAGTGAGAAATCACCCCCCAGGGGAATGGCCATGCCACAATCCTTTCTTTTCCACTCTCCTCTTGGGATTTGGGGCATGCACACACATGTTCCTGGTGTGATTGTCAAACTGCTAGGTCCAGGCTTTGAACTGCGGTCAGCCATGTGGGATCCAGTGGCCTTAACTTCCATGCCACCTGCTGACCCCCCACCCAAGGAGATTTCTTTTGCCTGCTTCAGTCAACAATAACCCTCAACCAAGAAGTAACCACCATTCTCACTTCTGCTACAATTATAGATGGGTTTTGCCTGCTTCTTATTTTTATTTTTGATTTTATATACACAGAAACATTCAGCACATACTTGCTGGCGTCTGGGTTCTTTCACACATCGTCATGTCTGGGGGATTGAACCAAGTCACTGGACCCAGCGTAACATAGGGTTGAATGTCTAGCAGTCAGTTGTGTTCTATGGAACAGATTGTCTCATATTGGAACAAATTGCAGCATACTAGGTGGCATGCAGCATTGCTCCTGCACAGAAATTCCCAGGTTGTCCCTAAAAGGTTTTCAGGGAAGTCCCTCCCAAAGATTTCATACCTGGGGCAGGGGTAGGGACAGTTTTCCCAGGCAGGTCATTGAATCCCAGCAGCCCCTCACATTACACAGCCAGAAATGGAAGCAAGGTTTGCGTGAGGTGCCACCAGGGCGGTATCTGAGCTGCCAGGTGGCCTGGGGACTTACCTGCAGAGTCTGGATATACGTATATGCCAGGAGGTATTGTCCCGCTGTCATAGTGGCCTAAAGCCAGGGTGACAGGGTATGTGTGCAGCTGATGCTGCAGTCTGGTTTCTGAAGTTTTTGGGTCAGATGTGGGCTCATCAGGATCCTTTTACCTCTTAAATACTCACTTAGTAAAAGGGGAAGCTAGTAAATGTTGTGTAGACACTTGCTTTCTTGGTCAACCCTTGGAGGACTTTTGAACATACTGGATCTGGGCACATGTTCACGAAGACCTTCAGGTCACTCTTCAAATGTCTCCTGGAGCGGGAGCCTGGAAAACTAATAACCCCGAGGCCCGTAAAGCACAGCTGCCATGTAGGCTGCGTTTAATGAGACGATAAAAGCCACTCTGGATTATGCGGGGTGGAAGCAGCTCCCAGTGAAGAAAGCCGTCTGAAGCCAGCAGCGTAACAGGGCGGTTTAGTGCAGACAGGCCTAGTCAGGCCGCCTCGGTCTTGCGTCTGCGACAGTCGCTTGTAATTTCAGAGAGTTATTCAGCACCTTTGTACCTCAGGGTCTTCGTTTGTTTTAAAACACAAAAGGGCTGGATATGATGATCTGAACCTCTTCCCACTCTCATACAGTCTGCGTTCTGAAACTACAAATAGAATATTCCACTTTGCAGAGTGTTAATTGGATCATTCTGATTACCTAGGCAGTCTTGCCAGCCATGAAGTAAATGATTGCTTAGAGAATTATGGAATTTTATAGCTGGTGAAGACTTTGGCCCAAACGCCTCATTTTACAAGTCAGGAAAACAGAGACGCTGAACGTACAAATGACTGACTCAGGGGCACCCAAATGGTCCTTTGAAAACCTAAGACAGTTACACTCCGAACCCCAGGCTTCCTCACTCTGGGATAGGTCCCGTTGCTTCTCTAAGAATTGCCTAGAAAGTTACCTCTTTTCCTAAAAGTCCTTATTCCACTGTTACAGTCAATAGAGCTTTGGGGACCCGGGGAGCCCACTGAGAGTTGTTCAACATTAATGAGTTGCTCCATCGGCTTTTTCTTAGCTCTTTTCGGAATTTGGGGTCAGCTAAGCCAACAGCATCTATAAG